TCTTCCTTTCTGCTCCCTCTCCCCATGTAGTTACATACCCATACATACAGTACATTCAATAAACAGACTCTGCAGTGTTACCTCACTAAAAGCATGAAGGACTTGTGTTACTTCTTGTGAATAAGGACATTCAGAATAGTTTTGTTCTGCCCAGCGTCCAGTCCGGTTACACTTACGCCACGCCTTTGGCTCTTCTGCCCCATTACGTAAGGAAATGGAACTAAACGAATACTGGAAACATGGATGGTAAGCTGTTATCCCAGCCAAAGTTTTAGGCCATCTATGAGGAAGATAATAATAAGCAATTTCAACATGACATGCCTTATTTAGAACCAATTTACAATGTGGCAACAATATGGCAGAACATGTAAGTAGTAAATAATTATTTTAAATGGTTTATTTTCTAAAAACAGCTTTCTGCTTTTGTGCTTTGTGGTAAATTACATTGTTTTCTTACTGCCAGAAATACACTGACCCACAATCTGGCAGTAGTGAGAACTGGCAACTGATTTGCTCTAATAAGGTATTTGGTTGTTAAAAATATATATAGATGAAATATTTCCCCTTCATACATCTACAAAGACTTGTAAAGCAAAGCTTAAAGCCATCATGCAATTTTAAAATTCAACATCTCTTTTTAAAAACCAAGAGGCAAATGCTTCAGAAGGGAAGGACCATTCTCACTGGAATTTTGGCCCAAAACCACAGTACGGGAGAGTAAAGGTTCTGTTACAAGTTGTTCTGTCTCCCTTAAGTACATGAAAATGACTCCTGAGGAGGTTTAGTCCCAAAAGTAAGAAAGATGTTGATCACAGGGAGAAAGGGGACAGTGGGATTTGCCCCCAAAGTTTAATATGTGAGCCAAGATAAATTTACAGTTGAATTCTGCTCTTCTGTCAAGTAATCTCTGAAAGAGGGCTTATAGAGCAGTCACCATTATTCCATTAGGTTGAAAGAGACTCATGGTCAATGCATTGTTAAGAACCACAGAGCTCTCAGGAATATTGTTTTGGGTATAAAATTATTGCCATTTTCACAATAGTGGCTACAAAGCAGGCTGTTGTTTTAAAATTTAGCAGTAATTAAAAGGGAACAGTATTTCAAAGAATTCCCTTCCTCCAAACAAGTGCAATTCCCCATCCTTCTTGAAGTGTGGGACTCACGACTGGACACAATATTCCAGGTGAGATCTCACCCGTGCTACATAGAGAAAAGAAATTATTTCTCTTGATTTGCAAGTAACATTCCCTAATACAAGCCAATATGCTGTTTGCTTTTTATTTTTTTACTTATTTTTTGTAAGAAGAGCACACTCTTGGCTCATATTCAGTTTACAGTCTACTATGACCCCAGGTTCTTCTCTTCAGTACTGCTGTCTAGTCAATTCTTCCATTCCAAGTGCAGGACTTTGCACTTGTCCTTGTTGAATCTCATGCAATTGATTGCGGATCATTTTTCAAATCTATTCAAGTCATTATGTATCCTAGTCCTGCCCTCCAGAGTGTCTGTAACTGCACCCTACTTGGTTTCATCTGCCAAATTACTAAGCGTGCGCTCAATCCCATCCAAATTATTAAAGACCTATTGTTACTACATCCTTGGAAAGGGACGCTGCCCCACAGATCCATGATCCCATGCTGCTGTTCAGGTGTCACTACTCAGCAGCTTAAGGCTAAGGATAGACATTGCACATAAACCAGTTTAAGTGATCAGACACTGCTTTAAACCTGTAACAGAACAGAAGTTCAGTGCACATAAACCTGTTTAAAAATGGCTGAAAATGGCTTGAGATAAACCTGGCTGAATGTAGTATCAGACTTAACTGATTTGGGTCAAACCAGTTTATGCAATGTCTGTCCCAGACCCCTTCCTGATTTAAGTTAAACCAGCATCCCCCAGCATCCTGGCATGCTCTTTGGGATGGGAGGGGCTCTCTACTCCACAGCAGAGCTGACTCCTCCCCTCTGCTCCCTGGCTAGAGCTGTGGCAGAGACTGCCGGTGTATGCCTGGCTTCCCCCTGCTTCCCCCCTCCTCTCACCACGCCCTGCTAAGCAGGGGTCTCCCTTCCCCTCTGCCTTACATAGACACCTTTCAGCATTAGCTAGCATACCACATGCTGGCTATGGTCCGTGCTGTGGGAGATGGGACAAAGAACAGTGGTTTAGGGATCTTTGGAGCTAATCAATGGGTCAGCTGGTAACGTCCCTCCATTTCTTTCTTGGAACAAGTTGTTTAAAGAGAGCTTGAACTAATGAGAGAGCCTTTTGTTTTGCTACTGGGGTGATAAATGCTGTGTAAGCCTCTGCAGGCTCAGTGAAGGGGGGACACCTCCCTAATCAGAGTGTCCTCCTGGGCCTGGCCATGCCCCCCTCCCCCCACCTCAGCTCAAGACTGTGGAAAGGAAGGGAGGGCTGTTCTAGCACCCTTCCAGCTTCTAGCCTCAGCCACTGCAGGCATGTGCCTGCATTTTTTCAGGCTGGAGGGGATCTCTGTGCAGTTACAAACTGATTCAGCCTAGGCAGGTTACACTAACATGCAAAGATTGAATCAACGCATGCTCAGGCTTTTTGAATGTCTGTCCCTAGCCTAAGAGCTTATTACGTGGCTCCAACCACCACTTATACCACACCATACCCATACCTTGCAGATACTACCCATCATGCTCTATGTCCCACCTAGTAAGTTTCCCTCCCTAGGGGCATCCCCATACCCCAGGTACCCCTATGTCACATCCATTAAATCTGTTACCTTGGCACACAATGCCTCAGACCTCAGTCTCTTTAACTGTTCTTTGCTCCTTAACTATACTTGGCTCCCCTGGCCATCCCAGTGCCTCAGGCTTGCCTTGGGCTCCCTGGCTCTGCTTCTCAGCCTTTGTGCCCAACCCCTGAGATCCTGTTCCCACTCCCAGGCCAATTGAGACCACCACTGACCCTTGTCTCAATCCCTAAACCACCAGACAACACCTGAGCTCTAAGGATGCCTTCTCTTAACCCCTGGGAGTAGAGTCTCCCTCTGTCTGCTGGTTGCTTATGAGCTCCTACCATGTCAGCAGCCAGGGTGAAACTGCCTCCCTCAGCTCTGGCCCTGGGCTTATCTCTCAGTTAAGTCCCAGCCTTTTCTGAGCAGATGCTTCCCTGCCTACTGACTCAATGTCTTTCCAAGCTTTCTCCTTTCTTAAAGTAACAAGTGTGCCCAGTGCCTGTTACAACCGGATCCAGGACAGACCATTGGGGAACCTCCCAACTAGACACTGAACCACTGATGACTACTTGTTGAGCCCAGTGTTCCAACCAATTATGTATCTACCTTACGGTACTTTCATCTTACAATACATTACAGTGTCTTTATTCTGCTGCTCTCCTGCTTCCTCCCCTAAGGATCCGTCTCCATCATTTTGTGGCTGTTGTTACCCAAGTTACCTTCCACCTTCACATCTCAACCACTTCCTCTCTGTTTGTGAGCAACAAGTGAAGAAGAGCTTCTACCTAAGTTGACTTGTCTACCATCTGTATCAAAAAGTTATCCCCACAACAGGAATTTGCTAGACTGTTTATGCTCTGCTGTGTTTCCCTCCAGGTAGAGGTCTCAATAATTAAAGTCTTCCATGAGAACCAAATTCTACGACCTGGAAGTTTCTGTCAGTTGTTTAAAGGAGGCCTCATCCACCTCTTCCTCCTGGTTTGCTGACCTGTAGCAGACACCCACAATGGCACCCTCCCCTGCTGTTTTCCCTTCTGCGCCTTTACCCAGAGGCTTATGACAGGCCTTCCTCCTATTCATAGTGCACCTCAGAATACATATACAGCACTTTTATATACAGAGGGACACCTCATTTTTTTCCCCTTCACCCACCTGTTTTTCCCCTAAGGCTATTCAGCAAGTACAGCACACCTAATGTATGCAGTGCTGGCATTATCTCTTTTTATGATCAAGAAAGATAGTACATCATAATTTTACCTTTAGCATTTAAGAATCAGCTTGTCACTCAGAATGAGTGAAAAAAAATACAGAATCTCATGTCTTTCAGTACATAGAGTCAGTTTACTCTTACTTACAATGCATAATTTTTATCACAACTTTCAATTATAAATACCACCTGGGACTGTCAACTGAAAGAGCCATGCTTCCGCAGAGTTTCATGCCTCTCTTCCCAATAAAGGAACTGCTCTTTTTAGTTTTGCTTTTGTGACTGATATCTTTCTACCTACATATTTGCTATGATATCAAAACCTCAAAGGTCTTTCTATTAAAAATTGCTGGTGTGTTAGCTACATCTCTGAGGAGAAGCCTCTGAAACAAGCTTCATGTGTTAAAGTTAAGTTTGCTCCAAAGACGTTCTCTATAATCTTAAATTCATTCCCTTCAAATACCAAAAGAATCCATAGACTCAGCATGCTTTTGATATATGTTTCAAAAATAAATTTGGGTGGACTTTCTGAAAGATGATCAATACAGAGAAATGTGCCTTCCTGTTCTTTTGATTTATATAAAATCACAAAATGTCCTTGGTGTTAGTTTGATCACTCTGTAGGAATTTATATATCTTCTATTTATAAAGAAGGAATGACATTTACTGGCAATAGTGTGATGGGCTTCATAACTGTCATTTGAAAGCTGTATTATGTAGCACTTGGTTCAAGTTTATATTATATCTGTTAAAGTGATTAATTATAAAGCACCCAAGTTCACTAGTTCTAGGTAGAATGCATTGGCAGTTTTTTGCAGTACCAGACAAACAAACTCTAGTTGAAATGTTTGAAAGGAAAGCAAGGGATTTAGCCATATTTCTTCAAATTATTTTCATATATTCCTGGAAATCTGTGGTGAAACAACCGTATTTTTGTAGAAGTGTGCAAAGAGGCTAGACAACTTCCCTCTTTTGGGAGGTTTACCCCGGACATATTACAAGTTAGAATTGAAGGCAAGGACCTGTGAAAAATAACTCATGCTCACAGCTTAAGAATAAAGGTAAAGAGATTTATTTAAGCTAGAAACTTGTTTGGAAAGTTCTAGTACTTCACAACAATAGGAAAGGATAGCATATTTCAACCCTTCTTACTCTCCCTCACCCCTGTTTTTACTTTAATTAATTAATTAAGCCTAAACTCATTTTACAATGTATCCAGCAACAATATTCTTTCTTGCTCTCTCGGTAGGATTATTACAGAACACAATGGTCTTACTTTCAGGTAATAATAGTTTATCTTGTGGTTTTATACTCAGCAATATAACATCTCTCCTGCCTTATACTTAAAACACAATATCAATAGGAAAGA